CAGTTAAAAAAAAAAAAAAAAGCTGGGGAAGGACAGCCAACAGATTGTTTTGTTTGTCTGCTTGTCTTCTAAGAATGGAGTATAAAAAGCCCCTTGTGGTAATCACAAAACACCTGGGGCAGTGTCACATTTCAATGGCCTCTAATGGTATATGCTCTGCTTTTACACTTTTGAGTCTCACTTTACTTGGCAAACAGCAAGCTGTTTCATGGCTGTAGCTTGGAGTAATTCTGTGGACCACCAACTCTGAGACAGAAGCGAGAATAACTTACCCAGTTCATTAAAAATCTGGCTTACCATACCACAGATGCCCTATCTCACAGCTGCCTCTAAATCTAGAGTAATTCCTTAATTCTCACCTGTATGGCTGTCAGTTACTTGGCTCTATGGGTGTTACCAGAAGCTTATTCCTTACTTTTCATCTTTTAAAAATACCTTCCAACACCCTTGTTGTCTTACTAGTGTGTTTATAAATTTACTTTTTTACTGTAATTTTTTATTGCATTTCTTCTGTAATTTTAATAGAACTTTAGAAAATAACAACTTAAACCCAGTATGACATTTTGATCTGTAATTCTCCCAAATTCATACTTTACACTCATTTAATCTACTCAAGAGTTGCCTTCTACACTCCATGCTGTCTCATACCTCCCTGTCATAAAGGGAGGCAATCTGTCACCATCAAGACCTATAATACTTAAAAAAGCGCAAGAAAATCAGGGAAAGAGGAAAGGAAAAGTGAGAAGGGACTAAACTATCATGCTGTTTCTCAGGAGGCCTCAAACAGTGACAACGCCTCCTTAATTTACCATTGCCAAGAATCTGTCCTCTAGCCTTATAGATTCCCTGGTTTTGTTTGCATGCCAAATAGGGGCCCAACTCTCAGGGCAGACACTCTATCAAATAAAGCCAAATTGGTTTTTATTTTGGGGGGTTTTTTTGCAGTTTTTGGCTAGGGCTGGGTTTGAACCCACCACCTCTGGCATATGGGGCCGGCACTTTCTCCTTTGAGCCACAAAATAAAGCCAAATTATTAACACAAAGTATTAACTGTTAGCTATTGTATGAACCAGAACATTTCTGCCTGAACAAGTACTCCATTTTCTGTCCATCAATAGATGTCAAACTGTAATCAAAAGTTTGCTTGTAATTAATGCCATTGAACTGTATAGACAGTCCCCAGGTTACAAACAAGATAGGTTTGGTAGATTTGTTCTCAAATTGAATTTGTGTGTAAGCTGTAACACATACATTTACCTATTACCTGTAATGGCCTCTGTTCATAAGTGAGAGTTGTATGTTGACTTCAATGTTTGTAACTTGGAGACAGCCTATACACTAAAAAAGACTAGAATGACAAATTTTATGCTGTGTATGGTTTGCCACAGTAAAAAAAAAAAAGTTTGCTTATATTCAAAATGAGGACAATCTGATAGACAAATAAAATGTTAAATAACATAACATGTCTAAGATAACCTGACAATCTTTATTTCTACGATAAGAACAACCCTGCCACCAAAAACAGAATTCTTGGCTGGGAGTAGTGACTCACACCTGTAATCCTAGCACTCTGAGAGACCAAGGCAGGAAAATTCTCAAGCTCAGGAGTTCAAGACCAGCCTGACGAAGAGCAAGACCTCATCTCTACTAAAACAGAAAAATTAGCCAGGCATGGTGGTGCATGCCTGTAGTCCCAGCTACACGGGAAGATGAGGCAGGAGGATCACTTGAGCTCAGGAATTTGATGTTGCTGTGAGCTAAGCTGACACCACAGACAGAGACTCTGTCTCACCAAAAAAGAAAAATAAAGAAAAACAGAACTCTTAAATTTCAACATACGCTATCAACATTTGCCTTTGTAAGTTCTTTTTTCTGTGTTTATGTGTACAAGACAGACCTTGTTATATAAAAAATCTACTATACCTACTGACTTTACAATGAAATTTTAACTGTTAAAGAGTTTTTTAAAGGTTCAATTTTCTGGCTCCTAGAGGTCTGTTAGATTCCAAATGTTTTAATAAAATATTATGGAGAATCCTCAAAACTATGTCCATCTAGGCTCAGCACCTATAGTTCAGTGGCTGGCTAGGGCACCAGCCACATACACTGTAGATGGTGGGTTCGAACCCAGCCCCAAGCCTGCCAAACAACAATGACAACTACAACCAAAAAATAGCAAGTGTTGTGGAGGGCACCTGTAGTCCCAGCTACTTGGGAGGCTGAGGCAAAAGAATCACTTAAGCCCAAGAGTTTGAGGTTGCTGTGAACTGTGAAGCCACAGCACTCTACGGAGAGTGACAGTGAGACTCTGTCTCAAAAAAAAAAAAAAATCTATGTCTATCTACTAAAGGATAGAAACTCCTGCTTTGATGTGAGAGTTGTAAGGCACCAGAAAAATTTTTGAGGGCCCTATCAATATTCCCAAAGTGCAATCACTGACCACCACCTTCAAAATCACCTGGGACACTTGTTAAAAATACATCTCATTCACCTATAATGCCTCCTTAGCCCCACCCTACAAATAAAAATTTAGAAAAATATAATATCTCCCAGCTGAATGTAGTAGGAGGCTGAGGTAGAAGCCCAAGAGTTCGCGTCTAGCCTAAGCAACATGACACAGCAAGATGCCATCTCTGAAAATTAAAAAATACACGTCAAAAGAATATGCTCTAGTAAATCTAGGGTAGTGGCCCAAATCTTCACTTTTACAATTTAAGAACTACTGCCCTTTTCTAACAATTAAAATAACCTGAAGAATGAAGATTCAGCCAAGGAAAGTTGGTAGGTATAGGCTACAGAAAAATGTAAAGATCTTTCTAAAAAAAGAGCTTCATCAAAAAAGTAACAAAAGGCCATTGTGGCTAGTGAGGAAAATAGCATGATTTAAAGTTGAAAAGGTAGGCCAGTATGATTGCCATGGTAAGAAGTTTGGATCGTACAAGTATAAAAGAAAGCAGGAGACTAACTTTATCTGAATTGCATTTTTAAAAGCTTATACTTCTGTGTAAAGAACTGAGCCTAGCAAGGTAAGGGTAGAAGCAAGATTAGTGGGTAATTTCAATAGTCCAGGGAAAAGATGATCATGACTGATAGAAGCAGAGGTGAAAGAACGGGCAAATAAATTTTGGAAGTTGAACAGATAGACTTTCTGATAGACTGGAAGTAGGAAATGATAAAAAATAGACATCTATCTTAAATAACTATATAGGTAGTAAATAAATATCTTTGGGTATTTATAACTATATATCTCACTTAATATCTTATTTTTTAGTTAATGAAGAAAACAAGTACTACTTAGAAAATAGAAGTTGAAAGGTTATAAAAGATCTTATATAAATCTTCATTACAAAAGCAATGGAAATATAAACACTAGGGATCACAAAAGTGAATCCACCTATAAATTAAACTGCCCATCTATACATAAATTTGAATTTCTGAATTAAGCACAATAAAAAATATACTTTATTAATACCTTGCAAATGAACTAGTCAGTATAAAGCCTCATGCTTTCCACAAAGAATACTAGTTAAATGCTCTCTCCTATCTCTCATTCTAAAACATTTACCTAGAAACCTAGAGGTTGTTACACAAAGTTCTTGTTATATGAGATTTTTTTTTTTTTTTTTGGTCTTACTCTGTCACCCAAGCTAGAGTGCAGTAGGGTCACTACCACTCATAGCAACCTCAAACTCCTGGGCTCAAACAATCTTCCTGCCTCAGCCTCCCAAGTAGTTGGGATTAATAGGAAAGCACCACCCCACCTAGCTAATTTTTCTATTCTTAGTAGAGATGAGGGCTCAGGCTGGTCTTAAACTCCTGATCTCAACAATCCTCCCACCCTGGCCTCCCAGAGAGCTAGGTTTACAGGAGTGAGCCACCATACCCAGCCAGGATTCTTCCTAAAAGTTTCGCATCTCAATCAGATTACCAGATACATTCATTTTTTTAAAATCACCCTACTTAGTATCATAAGAATGAAATATTGTCACCTACAAAGTAAATACAGACGCTTACACAGAATCCTAATTTCTCTAGTCTTCAATTACTTTCTCTTATTTGGTTTCAAATCCCTGCAATTAGATGTAAATGTCTATTAGATATTCCTAGCTTAAAGGTAAACAAACCTGGCTCCCCTCAAAAAAACAATATTGGTCCAGAAAATCTAATTTTAAAAGAATTAGATCTCTATGTTCTATGTAGAAAGAAAAAGTATCTGTGGAATTCTACACATATACTCATCCACTTAATATTTTGAAATTTAATATGCCCAAATATTCATCCATTCAATGTCTCAAAAATTTTAGAAGCTACTTTTGAGGCAAGAAAGTAAAAGCAGAGCTAAAAGAATTTGTCCTAGCCGCCTTATGTAGGCCTTAGCCAAGCCGCAGGTGTTTCTGTTGTCTGTATGTTCCTCCCTTGATACGTGTGGGGCCTAGATTGTAACCTAGTAACTTCCTTGGACTTCCGTCGCCTTTGAGGGCAGGTGGTCCAACCAGTCTCAAGGGCGTGGGCAAATTTGACCTTCCCTTTGAGCACAGGGCCTTGACGATGATGTCATGTCTCTCTCTGTTTTATGACCCTCACGTGCACTCTTGCCCTGAAAAGTGGATAAAAGAGAGGCAAGAGATTATGAGTCGGGGGGGCTCAGTTTTGGAAACACTGGTTTTCCGAGTTCCCCCAGCTGAAATAAAGCAGCTTCCTCTAATCAACTGGTGCCTGGAGTCTTCTGTCTGGTTTCCTGCTACACTTTCATTGAAATAAAGCCCCTCTCTCAAGAGGCCAAAGATTCAAAGAAATAGAGCACTACTTTTCAGTAACATAATCATTTGAAAATACATTGTTTATGAGATCTTTAAGTATACAAGCCATAAAAAGTAAAAAAGAAAAAGAAGAGAAATATTTGGAAAAGAAATAATTATTTTGAAAAAAGATAATTTGCTTCTTGCTTCTTCAGCCAAAAACAGACATGACAAAAGAACTAACGCAACTGCAGAAAACTTCTTTGTATTTAAATGTATTTTCAGGAAGATTTCAAGATCTGACATGGGCACAGAGAAAAGGAACAAACTAAAACAAGTATAAACAAGGCCAGTTACAGGCTGACCTCTATTTGAAATGTGTTAAAAAAAATATTTTAGTCATACATTTTAAAAATATGATTGAGAAAAAATTTTCAATTCAAGTCCTCTCAATCACCTTGAAATACTTGTGACCTGAACTCATACGTTAAGGCAAATCTTGATTTTTAATTATTCATTTAATTGATGAACTGCTTCATTTAAATTGCTAATTCAGGGTGAAAGATTTTATAAAAAACATTTTATTGCTACAAAGGGAAACATGGTCACAAAAGCCTTTAAGTGGATCTTTCAACGCACATTACTATTCAACATCCAAGGCTGTAAAAAAATACACAGTCAGAGCACAAAATACTTGCCCAATTTACCTCTTCTAGGGTAAGTATTCAAAAAATTAATGCACACTTGAATATTCACTCCCAAGAGCAGCATTTAAGTTCAAATGATTAGAATAGATTACTAACAATGTACAGTAATTATCTTTAACACCAATAAAGTAATAAAAATCAAGCTTAAAAATTATACAAACAATTGATCAGATCTAGTTTGGTAACTATAAAAACTAAACTAAAATAGTCTTACCTTCATTTTATTAAACAAATGCCAAACATTTAGAAATTATATAAAACACAATTTTAACATGTGGAATTCATGCAAGATGGATGTTAACTCTTATTTTTAAGCTATTAAAATTCTTACCCTTTTCCACATTAGCACAGAAATTTAAAGCTCCTTTTAAATCTAATACCTTATATTTAATTTTCTTCAGGCTGCTCAACGGGGAAATCAGAAGGCTCTTCCTTTGCTTCTTCTTCCTCTACTCCCCCGGCTTCTTCCACTTCCCCCTCTGCCCCTACTTCCCCACCTCCTTCGGTGTCCCCCTCGCCCTCTACTCCTCCAGTTTCTCCCACATCTTCTGCTTCCTCTGCTTCCTCCACTTCCTCCACTTCCTCTGCTTCCTCTGCTTCCTCCGCTTCCTCTGCTTCCTCCTCCTCTGCTTCCTCTGCTTCCTCCGCTTCCTCTGCTTCCTCCACTTCTACTCCCTTTGATTCTTCTTCTTCCTCTTCATCCTCCTCTTCTTCAATAGGCTCATCAATCTTTTCTTCATCTTCCTCATCTCCTTCTATTTGCTGATCCTGGGAATGATCTTGAATTTCAAAAGGATTCTCACCCTAAAAACATGTAAAATGGCTTTTAAACGCCCATTCATTTTTACATCAGTGAAATTTTTATTTGTTATATCATGAAGAACAAATACTATTTAAATGTTTTTAATTAGTATTTAAAGGTTTTAACTTATGACCAGGTCATTAATTATTTATTGAATACCTCCTTCTTAACAACATGGGTACATAATTTACTGAAATCATTACTTTACATTGCATAAACTAAAATACTTAAAGGTCATATTTTCCTCTTACCTGAATTTCTAAAATCATATATTTATGTGTATGTGTGTATATATATAACAAGTAAGAGTGTGTGTTGGCTCGGTGCCTGTAGCTCAGCTGCTAAGACACCAGCCACATACACTGAAGCTGGCGGGGTCAGGCGGGTTCAAATCCAGCCTGGGCCTGCCAAACAACAATGACAACTACAACCAAAAAACAGCTGGGCACTGTGGTAGGTGCCTGTAGTCCCAGCTACTTGGGAGGCTGAGGCAGGAGACTCGTTTGAGCCCAGGAGTTGGAGGTTGCTGTGAGCTGTGATGCCACAGCACGCTACCAAGGGCAACATAATGAGACTCCGTCTCAAAAAAAAAAGTGTGTGTGTATATATATACATATATATATAAAACAAATAAGTGGTTTATGGTAGAAAGAAAACAGATGATGCAAAGATTTACATTTTACTTCATTATATCAGTATTCAATGTACAACTATTACAGGATCTCTTAAACTCAAATGAAAATTAAGTATCTTGTTTTACCTACTACATAACATGCTTTACTTATACTTTAAGAAAGACAAATCTTTAATTTGATAAACATTCACAGATACAATTTTATTTTAATATTTTATTTAAATACTTGAATTATGTTTGTGTGTCAAATCTCAATATAAATTAGACCAGATGAGAAAGCTATAACTTGGTAAGAAATGAAATGGCAGTAAAGGATATCAAACAGGCAAGTATTAGGAGTGGTGCTACCTTTAAGATGAGCCAGGCAGGAATGTGCAGGAAGAGGCAGACAAGCAAGAAAAGAAATACTAGGGGCTACTCTAATAGCCCAGAACAGGGAGATGTAAAAGTTGCAGTGACACCAATTCCAATGGAAAGGAAACAGGAAAGAGGTAGGTAGGTTAGGTTACACCATTAGAATTTCAGATATCTAACCATCTAACCATCTACTAGGTGGCTATAAATACGCAACTCAAGAGAAAAATTCAAAGTAAGACATTTACATTTGTGAATTGCTTGCACAGAGTGCACAGTAAGCAGGACAGCCGTGGGGTGGGACTAGAGGAGTTAAATATTAAAGGGGGGTGGAATAAAACACTATGAAAATACCTACACTGTATATACATGGGGACAGAGGTTAGAAGAGAAGGAATACTTGGTGCAGGAAGAAACCCAGGGGAGTAAAATATTATATGGTAAAATAGTTTTAAGAATAAGTGAAAGATGAATAGTACCAACTAAGGCAAATAGATAAAAGCACAAAAGGATTGAAAAGGATCACTATGGCTGATCATCATTATAGCTGAATGAGGTTCTTTAGGATTTACTATACCATCCCCTTTACTTTTTTATTTTTTGCGACAGGGTCTTACTATGTCACCATAGGTAGAGTGCTGTGGAGTCACAGCTCACAGCAACCTCAAACTTTTGGGCTTAAGCGATTCTCTTGCCTCAGCCTCCCAAGTAGCTGGGACTACAGGCACCTGCCACAATGTGCGGCTATTTTTTGGTTGTAGTTGTCATAGTTGTTTGCCAGGCCTAGGCTGGGTACGAACCTGTTAGCTCCAGTGTATGTGGCTGGCACCCTAGCCCAGTGGTTCTCAACCTTCCTAATGCTGCAATGTATTTTCATTGTTAAAAAGGGGTTAAGACCCACAGGTTGAGAACCACTGCTAGCCGCTAAGCTACAGGTGCCGAGCCCATCCCCTTTAATTTTGTATGTTTAAAATGCTAAACAATAATACTGTTAAAATTTTTAAAGCCCCCCCCAAAAAATTGTTAAAGGCCCCTAGATTTGATGATTACATCACTGGTAATCTTAGAACAGTTTTAAAAGTCTCAATGTAAATGACAACAGTTGTCCAAGAATGTGTCCTCATAATTACCTGTGAAATTCTCAAAATACACAGACCTTGGTTCCACACAATGGGATTTTAATTAAGTCACATCCTAGAGCTCTTGCTAAAAACACAAATTGCTAAAAAAAAAAAAAAAATTCCAACTCAAAATTCCCAGGGGAGAAGCCTATTAACCAGCACACTGAAGAAGAATTTCAGGAGACAGTTATGAGAGAAATTCGGGAAACATGAATTCAGAAAGTCTTAAAAAATGCAAAGAACGCTTTTTGGTCCCTCTTAGCCTCACAGATGATTCTGACTACATTCCTCCAGGTGAGAATTACTAATTTAAAAAGTAAATAATAGGAAGTAAAAAGCACATGCAAGGTAAACTTTTCAAATGGTGGGAAGGGAAGAGATAATAATAGGGGGAGGGCCAAAGTCTAGGAAAAGTTAAGTCATTTTTAGTTTAGGGAACACATAAGCATGTCTGTTTGGGGAAGATCAGAAAAAAAAAAAAAAAAACAAGAAAAACACCAGATGCAAATAAAGGAAGACATGATGATAAAACAAGTTCCCAGATGAAAAGCAAAGAAGAATGTTTCCCCTCACAGATAATACTAAAGGTGAGGGAAAGATACATGTACCTGAGGCACACAAGAGAACATTTACTGAGCTCACATCCAATGGTCTCAATCTCCCTAATGCAAGAGAAGAAATAAGAATACGGAAAGTGAGAGAATAAGAATGAAATTTGGTGGAGTTTTTTTTTGACAGAGCCTCAAGCTGTCCCCCTGGGTAGAATGCTGTGACATCACAGCTCACAGCAACCTCTAACTCCTGGCTCAAGCAAGTCTCCTGCCTCAGCCTCCCAGGTAGCTGGGACCACAGGTGTCCACCACAACGCTCAGCTATTTTTTGGTTGCAGCTGTCGTTGTTTTTGGCGGGCCCAGGCTGGATTCAAACCCGCTACCTTAGGTGCATGTGGCTGGCGCCTTAGCCACTTGAGCCACAGGCACCAAGCCAAGAAAGAAATTTGGGATATGTGATAAAATGGTTTGGAATAGCCACTACAGGAAACACATACATTGATAGTTGATTATGTAAAATTATTGTGAACTGAGTGAAAATCTTGCAAAGACAGGACTGGCACAATTATATGGTATTTTTTAGCAAGACAGACAATTAATAAAGCTAACCACAAATAGCACAGTGCTGAAAACTGCTAAATGGTAAAAGAACATCAACATTTCTTATTCAAATGGATGCCCATGAGAGCCCAGAGCAGAAAGTGAAGGCAAAACAAGATGATACAACTGGAGAATTACCAAAGATTGATGTTATTTGATGGGGGGAAAAAACTTAAAAGAGGGGCAGAAACTGGGCTCAGTGGGTAGGGCGCCAGCCCCATATACAGAGGGTGGCAGGTTCAAACCCATCCCCGGCCCTGGCCCTGGCCAAACTGCAACGAAAAATAGCCAGGAGATGTGGCGGGTACCTGTCGTCCCAGCTACTCAGGAGGCTGAGGCAAGAGGATCACCTAAGCACAAGAGTTAAAGGTTGCTGTGAGCTGTGATGCCACAGCACTCTACCGAGGGCGACATACTAACACTCTGTCTCTAAAAAATAATAGTAATAAATAAAAAATAAAGAAAAGATTTTAAAGGGTATTATGTCAGAGAGAGCACTTAACAGTGAAAGATTTTCAAACCATGACCAGAGCTGACCATGAGCAGAGGACGGATACTCTGAGGAATGACAACAGGAGCAGAAAGAAATGTTAAACAAAGCCAAATCACTAAGTCATGTGACACCAATGTTACTTGAATTTTAACATGGATATGAATCGACTGGAATCTTGTTCAAATGAAGATTCTTATTCAGTAGGCCTGGATATAACCTGGAATTCTGCATTGCTAATAAATTTCCAGGTGATGCTAATACTGCTGGTCCACAGCACATTCTGAGTAATAAGGTTCTAGAAGAGTTCTTCTAAACTCAGGTACTTTCTCTACAATACGCACATAAGCAAAACATGTCCACCAGTGTCCTCTCCCGTTTCATGAATGACTCAATAGTGTAGCTTGAAAATAATATATAAAAATTCTAATTTTGTGTTCTTCTCTCATTAAAAACTATTTTCATACATGAATAGAAACTACTAACTTCTCAAAAGTTGTGACAAAGAAAGAATAACAATCTAATTTTTCCTAATTCCACCATGATACTCTAATCTTTTTGATAAGGGTATCATAGGTACTAAATTAAATACCATACCTCCCATAAACCTGGATTTCAATTCAGGACTATATTCATTTTTTTAAAGCACTGTCAAGAATGTAGTAAACAGTGATGATATGATTAACAAATAAGAAAATAGGCCCCCCGCAAGGAGCAAGCCAGTATAACTGAGGTTATTCAGCTTGGAAGTCACTGGTTGAGGGATAATTAAATTGAGGCCCATTAAATATCTATCAGGTTTCTTCACAGAGCTGTTACCACAATAGCCAAAATAAATGATACTTCTTTAAGCTACAAAACATTTACTAATATAAGTAACAGACTATTGTAAAACTAGTATAACAGATCACTTCAGTATAGAATGATTTTAAGTTACGTATTATTTTCTAACAACTCACAAACTAAATTCTACAATTTATTTCTGTTAATTCCCTGAACAATAAGTTATTACTTGTACAATAAGTATATATAATAAGTTTTACGTCAAAGTAGACTCAAACAATATCAAATCTCAAAAACCCTAAAGAGTAATCCAGGTATACCCAATTGTTCACATCTGAGTTGCCTAATATAAGGAGGAAACTTTGTCTCTGCTGCCTTCCTGATTCTACAAGGTGGTGTCTTCTGGAACAAAATGTCTGTGCTTGGCAGAAGAAACTGGCTATACATAACTCATTCCCTTCTGGGTCTCCTCTTTTGGGTCTTCCCAGCAAACAAGAAGGTACATTCCAGTTTGCTCTATGTGATGTGGTAAACTAGGAGAATCCTGTTCCTGTCCATCTGGGCTGATAACAGAAGTTGGGGGGATTTACAGCTATCTATATCTAAATTAGGAGCAGAATATTAAAGTACACAGTAATTATTACACATCTAGGACACAGTCTCTGAGTTGATCTTATTTTTAAATTACAAAGCTGACATTCTGAGTCTGTCCAACTCTCGCATATCTCTCAACTAATTCAGAGCTAGAAAGGGGATAAGAGAATAATCACTTAATATTCCTCTCCTGCTCAATCACAACAATTAGGAAAAAATTCAAGATGCTAAGTAAAATTTGCTAACACGTGTACTATATTAAAATATCAAAAAGGGTTACTATGTCACCATTTAATTATTACAGTACTACATTATTATCTGAAAAGCTTTTGCTCTGAAATCTTACCTTAACAAAACGTTCATATCGTGCTTTCACTATTGGATTATTTAAAATGCTTGTAGCAGTCAAGACACTCTCTCGTTTTATTTGTTCCTTATAAGCCTATTTAAAAAAAAAAAAAAAAAAAAAACAGAACACATTGAGGGTACCTGAAAACTGTGAGATGAGAACTATTCCTATAATTGAAACAGCATTTAGGGCCAGGAGCAGTGGCTCACACATGTGAGTTAATCCTTACACTCTAGAAGGCCGAGGCAGATAGATGGCTTGAGCTCAGGAATTTGAGATCAGCCTGAGCAAGAGGGAGACCCTATCTCTACTCAAAATGGAAATACTAGCTGGGTGTTGTAGTAGTTGCCTCTAGTCCCGGCTACTCAGGAGGGTGAGGCAAGAGGATTGCTTGAGCCCAAGAGTTTGAGTTTGCTGTGAGCTATGACAGCATGGTACTCTACCCACAGTGACAGAGTAAGACTTTGTCTCAAAAAAAGAAAAATTAAAGAAAAACAGCATTTATGTTCAAATTCTTAGATTCAAATGACTTACTGTCTCACAAACAAAGCTATAGAGCTATGATTTTTAACCGGTGGGCTACAGCACACTGGTGTTCTATGAAAGGATCTTAGATGTGCTACAAAAATTTTTAAAGATCATCAATTATTTCTGAAAGATGTTCAAAGCGCAGTACTTTCACTCTTTTTTGATCTACATAATTTAAATGGAAGTTTAACTATAAGTTCAAGTGTGCCGTGAGATTAAAAAAGGTCGAAAACTCTGCTACAGAGCAACAACTACGACTGTGACAATAATCTGAATCATCTATAAATTAAAAACTCAAGCCCATCAGCTTCAATAAAAAACTCAGTACCTAAATACTACTAGAACTACTCGACAGTCGTTTTCTCTTCTTTCTGCTCTACATCTTCCTCCCCAGCTTGGCTAATTTGCTTTTTTTTCTTTTTTGGAGACAGAGTCTTACTGAGGTAGAGTAAGAGCTCATAGCAACACAGCTCACAGCAACCTCAAATTCTTGGGCATAAGTGATTCTCTTGCCTCAGCCTCCCCAGTAGCTAGGACTAAGGCACCTACCACAATACCCGGCTATTTTTAGAGATGAGGGTCTCACTCTGGCTCAGGCTGATCTCAAACCTGTGAGTTCAGGCAATCCAACCCTCCTTGGCCTCCCAGAGTGCTAGGATTACAGGCATAAGCCACTGTGCCTGGCCTCAGCTCGACTAATTTTCATGCTATAAAAAAAAATAATTTGTCAGACAGGAGAAATTAGTCTTCCTCTAGGCTGCCATTATATTATACAGAGGAAGAAAGATAATGATATGGAATGTCTAGTTGTTCAAGAAGGTATCAAAGGACTATCAAGGAAGAAAAAGGACAAAGATTAATAAAAGACTATATATGCTCAAAGTGCCTAAAGAAGTCTGAATTAAATGAGGTTCACTTCAACAAAAAATACAAACTGAAGACTCCGGCATGCTGTACTTAAAACTTAAGTCTTTAATAGTGAATCTTTAAATGTGCTTTCTTTTTTTGGAGACAAGGTCTCATTTTGTCACCCTGGGTAGAGTGCCCCAGTGTCAGACCTCACAGCAACCTCAAACTCTTGGGCTCAAGCAATTCTCTTGCCTCAGCCTCCTAATTAGCTGGGACTACAGGCGCCTGCCACAACACCTGGCTATTTTTAGAGACCAGGTCTAGCTATGGCTCAGGCTGGTCTCAAAGTCGTAAGCTCAGGCAATCCACCCACCTCAGCCTCCAAGAGTGCAAGGATTACAGGCATGAGCCTTAGTGCTCAATCCTAAATTTGCTTTCTTAACAAACTATTTCCCCAAAATATAAACAATAGCATTGTTTGAAGTAACTTTGACTAAATAAAGCCAGCCAATATCAAAACAAATATGCTAATAAAAAAATAAAACAGTACGCCTGTAGTCCTAGCTACTGGGGAGGCTAAGGCAAGAGAACTGCTTGAGCCCAGGAGTTTGAAGTTGCTGTGAGCTATGATGCCACAGCTTTCTACCTTTCTACTCAGGGTGATAAAATGAGACTCTGTCTCAAAAAAATAAATGAATAAATAAATAAATACAACAGTAAATTTTCCAGGGATATTCTACTCAAAAAATGTAACAATAGCCGGGCACAGTGGCTCATGCCTGTAACCCCAGCACTCTGGGAGGCTGAGACAGGTGGACTGCTTAAGCTCAGGAGTTCGAGACCAGCCTGAGCAAGAGCAAGATCCTGTCGCTAAAAAATAGCTGGGCATTGTGACGGGCACCTACAGTCCCAGCTACTTGGGAGGCTGAGGCAAGAGAATGGCTTGAGCCCAAGAGTTTGAGGTTGCTGTGAGCTATGACGCCATAGCACTCAACCCCAGGGCGACTAAGTGAGACTCTTATCTCCAAAAGAAAAGTAACGAAAGATAGTAACTAACAATCCTACATTTAATTTTTTTCTTCCAACCATCAGGAAAAAATTCAGTAATAATCAAACCTTTCTTTTCTGTTGTAAAGCACATACTTATGCACTCACAAAATTGTTTTTTATCAACTTAGTTAAGAAAAATAATTCAATAATAGCTATGATTTCCTGAATGTTGACCATTATCAGACACTATTTTAATTGCCTTATGTTTTATTAGATAATTTAATCATTAAAACAATCACATCAGGGTGGCACCTATGGCTCATTGGGTAGGGTGCCAGCCCCATATACCAAGGGTGGTGGATTCAAACCCAGCCCCAGGCCAAATTGCAACAAAAAAATAGCCAGGCACTGTGGCAGGCACCTATAGCCCCAGCTACTTGGAGGCTGAGGCAAGAGTTGGAAGTTGCTTTTTTTTTTGAGACGGAGCCTCAAGCTATCCCCCTGGGTAGAGTGCCATGGCATCACGCTCACAGCAACCTCCAACTCCTGGGCTCAAGCGAGTCTCCTGCCTCCACCTCCCAAGTAGCTGGGACTACAGGCACCCGCCACAACGCCTGGCCATTTTTTGGTTGCAGCCATCATTGTTGTTTGGCAGGCCCGGGCTGGGGATTCGAACCCGCCACCTTAGGTGTATGTGGCTGGTGCCCTAGCCGCTTGAGCCACAGGCGCCAAGCCGTAAGTTGCTTTGAATTGTGTGATGCCAGGCACTATACCAAGGGCAATAAAGTGAGAGTATCTCTACAAAAAAAAAAAAAAAATCACATCAAAGTAAAATGATTACCCATCCTCACTGTACAGATAAGAAAACTTAAACAAAGAAAGGTTAACTTAGTTTAACTTGTTATACACTGAACCAAGATTCAAACCCAGGAAGTCTTGCTCTAGAACCTATAATCTTTTTTTCATTCATTCATTTTTGATAGGGTCTGGCTCTGTTGCCCAGGCTAAAGTGCAGTGGCATCATATCTCTATGCAACCTCAAACTCCTGTGCTCAAGAAATCCTCCAAACCCAGCCTCCTGAGTAGCTGCAATTATAGGTACATGTCACCATACGAAGCCAATTTTTTTTTTATTTTTTCCAGAGACCAGGTCTTGCTAAATTGCCCAGGCTCATCTCCAACTCCTGACCTCAATCTATCCTCCTGTCTCAGCCCCACGAAGTGCTAAAATTATAGGTATGAGCCACTGCACCTGGCCAAAAGCCCATACTCTTAACTACTACACTGTCCAATGCCTCTGTTGGTATACTCAGTATTCATGTATGAAAATGATAGGATTATATATAAAACAATAGCAAAGGACTGATGTATAATTCAATGGCTTTATTAAGACAGATCAAAATTTACCTGCTTCCCTTTGATGTGATCAGGCGACTTTAAGTGCTGCTGAACTGAACTGTGCAAAGCGGGGATATACACACTACAAGCACTGCAGTGAACAGTCTCTACTTTCATCATGTGATCATCTGCAGTGACACCTACAAAAGAAATCCAATTGTTAAAGAAATGACTCAAGTATTTCTGACCAAGGTTTTGCTAGTTTTTCCATGATTATTCATATCCCTTATTCCAAAAATAGGATTAGAGTATATAGGTTTATGTTGAGTTTTTCTGCAGTACCTCACAAATCTACATATATACATTTAAAAATACAGATTAAAATTATAATTACATTATACTTCATATTCATGCTAAAAAATCATACTCTGAAACTTACAAATCCATCCCTCAAAAAAACATAACGGAAAAAAATGTTGATTTTGTAAAATAAAAATTTCTATAATTATGAATATGGATAAGCAGGGAAAGGGGAAAAGATGGCAAAATTGGATTCATAAGGAAAAAATACATTTTAGAGCTTGAAACTGATGATTGGCGTTGATTACAGGTGAAGGTATAAATATTATATAAGGAAAAGGTGAAATGTGAGAGAAAGTGGGAACTTTCTGGGAATTGCAAATAATTCAGTACAGCTGGCACAGACTATAAAGAAAAGACCAAAGGTGACAACCAAAGAAAAAGAAAGGCCTAAATCAGTGATTTTCAACCACTGTGTTGCAGCATACTGGTTGGCATGCTATGAGAGATCTTATGTGTGCTGCAAACATTTTAAAGATCATTAATTATTTTCAAAAGACGCTCAAAGCACAGTAAATATGTTATTTTATTTTACTTTTTTTTAAAATCAACATAATTTAAGTGTGCCATGAGATAAAAAAGGTTGAAAGACACTAGCCTAGATCATGAAAAGCTTTGTGTGCCACACCTAGTAATCTGAATTTTATCCTATAGAAAATAGGGAGCCACTGAAAGTTTCTAAAGGAGTAAAATCATGTAGTAGAATTAAACATATAATAAAAGACTGAAAGAAGGCAAATTAGTCAAGAAATGCTACAATTGGCAAGAAAACAGGTAAGAATTTGAACAAATGCAGAATTTTAAAGAGAAGTAATAAAGAAGATTTGGCAAATATTTAAAATGGGACACAGTGTTACAGATATATAAAAGAAAAGTATTGAGGATAACTCTATACATCTAGCTTCTAGATGGTGGGGGTCCTTTTTCAAGATAAATGAAGTTGATAATTGCAAATTTTTGTTTAGTTTTCTTTGTGGGGTAGGGTATGCTCAAGATGATAATTTTTGGATATACTGATTTTGTGACTACTGTAGAGAGATATCAGCGTTAGATGTATGAGACAAGAGTTTAGAAGAGGGCTAGGCATGGTGGCTCACACCTATAATTCTAACACTCTGGGAAGCTGAGGAGGGCAGATCGCCTGAGCTCTTTAAGACCAGCCTGAGCTGGAGACTCTGTCTCTAAAAACAGTCCGGCATTGTGGCAGTGCCTGTAGTCCCAGCTAATCGGGAGGCTGAGATAAGAGAATCACTTGAGCCCAAGAGTTTGAGGTTGCTGTGAGCTATTGACACTACGATTCTCCACCAAAGGTAACAAAGTGAGATCCCCATCTCTAAAAAATAGCTGGGCACTATGGCAAGTGCCTGTAATCCCAGCTACTTGGGAGGCTGAGGCAAAAGGATCCCTTAAACCCAACAGTTTGAGGTTGATGTGAGCTA